GAGAGAGAGGAGGGGAAGGTTAGGAGAAGGCGTGTGGAGAGGGGGTTAAAGGCATGCCGCAATCATCTTACACTTGAGAACATCGAGGGATCGTGATCGTGGGATTAGTGCCTGAGGTTTCGAGGCGAATCTCAATCCAGTTCGGATCCTTCGTCATCTCTGTCTGAAAACATCGTGCTACTAGTATGTACTGAAAACACCGTGGGGAGCGTTTGTGATTCTGCCGGGATGATCATCTGAGTCTGTTTTCCTTCGTCATCGATTTTTGGGTCCGTGACGTTCGTCGCAATTTTCAGTCTTGTAAGTTCCACGATCTGGGATGTCAGTAATCGGTGCCTCCGATTTTTCTCTAATTAGTCCTATCATTGCTCCCTTCATAAGCAAGGGTCTAGGCGGGGAGTTAGAAAGGTCGAGATATTGAGTCATATGTTGATACCTTCCTTGGAGAGAAAGTGTGCCCTTGTATAAGGTGCGAGGGGGTTCCAGATGATCAGCCATATCCGCAACCTGTAGAATGGGTTCTTCGAGGAAAGAAGTGCCCGGGATGCGTGTTTCTGACAGAGGGAGGGAGGACCGCGATGGAAGGGGAACAAAGCTAGATCTAGCGCTTTCGATGTTAAGACAGAAGGATCTTGTGGTTCTTGGAAGAAATTGGAAATCTCTCTTGGTTTCTTTCACAAACATTCGAACTAACTCGTTCCATTCTTCTTCTGGGGCATGTAATTCAGGAGCTCCGCGTAGTGTTTTTCATCGCTCTCTCTGTTGAGAGAGGCTCGTCGTCACTCTCGGGCGAGGAGTTCTTCTCGATTCCCCTCGTTCCGATCATCCCTACCATCACGACCTGTCATTTCCCCCCCCCCTCAAGATCTTCCTCACATGCCGCATAGAAAGACGCAAATGAATGGTTTGAGGCTTTCCTCCCATGTGAGTGAGAATGAGTTGTTTGGTGTCGAAGTGTAATCGAGCGCCAACAACCATAGTTCATGGTAATCCGAGCAATACAGAGTACGATAGGGGAAGCATGGAATTTAATCGTCCCGTTTTTCGAATCGTATTGAGCGAGATAGTTACGGCGGACGATCCGGTGTCAACTAACACAATGAACGACTTCTCCCCAAATTCAACAGTCACATTCTGCGCTTCTCCATAGTACTGGCCTGACTTGGATGAAGTGATATTTTTTCGCGTATGCTAGTTTTGCTACGCGGGATGTTTTTGAGACCACAAGTTTACTAGTTAGCGGGTCGGAGGGGAAAAGTGCTGGCTCCACCATCTCTTCCGTCTTCTTGAGCATTCTTTGGATGCGCTGGCAGGTGAACCTTTCCTGGTTTTTCTGGTATTGCTGCAAGAGTCTGTCATTGACCGTTTCGGAGATGGTCAACAGATGTCCTACAGGAACGGGGACTCAAATATCTAATCTCTTAACTGCTTGTAGGACATCGATCTCTCCAGTCCGATACCGAGGTTCGGGTACCGATTCCCGTTCCACCCATTCCGACTCCTCCTTTTTCGGTCGAATGGCACTGATCAGTCTTGCCAGTTGGAGATATTCTGCTGAATCGACCACTTCGGCAGCTTCCAAGGAAGCATCCGAGGTGGAGGTAGTTGCTTCTGAGGGGGAGAGGGATATCC